CCCCACCCCACCCCACCCCAGTCAATCACGACTCCCTTCCCTCTAATAAAATCATAGGGGCTAGTACCTAGTTCTGCAACAGCCGCTGCACAGGCTGACAGCGCGAACTTGCTGGTTCGGGGCCATCTCTCTGGGAAAGGCAAACTCCTCTTCTCCTGGGGGTAGCATTCAGCATGTAACATAACAGGCACACTCAGTCACCCACCCACCCAAAAGACTCTGGAAAGAATTAAAAGTCAGTGAGTCACTCTCTTGAGGTCATTTTCCTAAAGTTCTAGCAGCACCAAGGAGCCCGCACCGTCTTCCGATAAGCAGACTCCAAAGTCTCTGCTCAGTGACATAACTAAATCCTACAGAGAGGCTTCTGGGAAACGTAGTCTTTTATCCAATCTCTCTCTCACATGCGGTAGTGAAAGTTGGTTTTTAAGCACAGTTATTTATTGCCAATCACTGATATTCAAAAATCATTAGTCAGGTCCCCAAAATCATGAGATTAATTTAAACATAATGAGGCTTTTAAAAGAATATATTTGCCTTCAGCTATTTGAGTGGTTAAAGTTTCAAACTTTGCTCTGCAATCATGAGGGCTAGAAACTTTTTTTTCCTAACTGAGAGCTAAGATTCTCACATAGTCAGGACAGGGGTGCCATTTCAGATTTTAACTGTGATTTCAGAGGCTATTTAAGCACCTGAAAACTCTAGGTGTGTTTTTTTTGTTTTGTTTTGTTTGTTTTGTTTTGCAGATAAATTAGAAATTAACTGATGGGAACACTGTATCTAATTCCTACATAAAGAAAGAAAAAACACTAATTAGAGCCATATTTTAAGTTTATATGTCAATTTAGAACAATCAGGAGATAATACAAGATATTTCCAAACCCACGCATTGAGGTATCCATTTTGGAGCCTTAGCACAGATATCAGAAACACAAGTTTGATACTTTGTACACCATCTTTAGTAGAGATAAATAAAAATAAATAAAATTTGCCTAATATTTGCTTACTTTCTCTGACACACTCTGTGTTACTGCTGTTATCCACTCTGTCTTAGTCAATTGTTTTTTCACTCCACTAAAAACATACCTACTTAATATTAACATGCATGATTAAGCCCCCCCCCTTTTATTAAGAATGGGAATTTATTTGTTTAATTATTCTGGCATTTCTGTTTACTGATCACAGTCATATATGTGACTCATTAATATTTAAATTCATCATTACTATTAGTATCAAACTTGAAACTGCATTTATTTTCCTACGAATTTTAAGTTATTTTACAGATATAATTAAAATATAATTTGAAGATAAGCGACCTTCATCTGCACAGTGTTTAGCTTTAAAAAAAAAAACTGGCACTGCTAAGGTGAGTACAAGCTAAATTTACATTCTGGAAGGATACTATTACTTGATTGTGTGTGTGTTGGGGAGAGTGTGTGGGAGACTGAAGGTGTGTGTTAGGTGGGAGTGTGTGTGTGAGATTGTGTATACTGAATGATTGTGTCAGCACACTGTCTCTTTAAGCCAAGCACGCAGGAGTCTGAACACTTGGTTCAGTACAGCAGCAGCAGCTCCCATTCCTCAGCCAGAGGCACCTGAACAGACAGGTGTCCTGTCCCCACCTCCCCAGCTCAGTGGAGACCCACTCGGGCACAATATGTCCCCATATCTACTCTAGTGACACCATCAGAGGATCCAACCACATCAGCCACACCATCAGGGACTCATTCACCTGCACATCTACTAATGTGATATATGCCATCATGTGCCAGCAATGCCCCTCTGCCATGTACATTGGCCAAACCGGACAGTCTTTATGTAAAAGAATAAATGGACACAAATCTGACATCAGGAATGGTAACATACAAAAGCCAGTAGGAGAACACGTCAGTCTTTCTGGACATTCTATAACAGATTTAAAAGTAGCCATACTGGAACAAAAAAAACTTCAGAAACAGACTTCAAAGAGAAACTGCAGAAGTAAGGCCTGGTCTACGCTGCCGGGGGAAGGATTCAATCTAAGTTATGCAGCTTCAGCTACATGAATAATGTAGCTGAAGTCCACGTACTTAGATCAACTTAGGGTGACCAGACGTCCCGATTTTATTGGGACTGTCCCGATATTTCCTTGTTTGTCCCGCGTCCCGACCAACGTGCGGTCGGGACACTGGACAAACAAGGAAATGCACCGGAGCCTGGAGCCCGGAAGTGCTCGCGCCTCCCCGCCCCCCCGACTCCACCCCCTCCTCCCCCGATTGGCTCCCTCCCCGAATCCCCGCCTCTTCCCCAGGCTCACCATTCCTCCTCCCTCCGCAAGCGCTGAGGGAGGTCCGGGAGACTCAGAGGAAGCGCGGGGCCAGGGTGAGTAAGAGTCCGGCCTGGCCCCGAGCAGGCAGGACTCAGTTGGGTGGTAGGAGAGGAGGGGGGCTGCCCGCGGGGCCAGGC